AGAAGAAGAAGAAGAAGAAGAAGAAAATGATAAAGACGAAGAAGAAGAAGAAGGAAAAGAAGAAGAAGAAGAAAAACAAAAACCCTTGATTTAGTTCCTGCAAATGTCGCACGTAGTCGATAGATTCAATGAATTAACCCTACCAGGTACCCATTTATTACACCCGAGTCGAGTGTAGCTAATATAGATTACTGTCTTGCCAAAGAAACCTACTGTTGAGGCAAGGACTCGAACCCCGTACCTTGTGGTTCACAGTTCGGGAATATCCACGTCTCCATTCCAAGCAGGTCTTCATAACGATATAGAAAATGAGATGAGTAAAGGGGTTAAAATAGGAGTATCGAGGCCGAGGATAACCTTTTAGAATAACAAAGAAAGGACTTGGACAAGGTCTTTAAACAAACTAAATAGAGGAAGGTAGAAAAATGAGTAAAACGAGGTTACATGACACGCAAGCGTAAAAGAGAGTGTACAAGGTTCGAACCCCGACACGGACCGGAGTAATGATAACTGGAAGCGCTTTGGTCGGCTAAACAGTCAATCGCTTTAAACAAGAAAGTTAAGAAATTCAATATCGTTATCAATAAAAAAAAAAAAAAGTGGCGATGTGATGGAATTGGTTCACTATATAAACGCGTGAAAGCATTTCGTTATAATTATTATGGGCGTATAAGGTTGGATTTCATAATTATTACGTGATTCCATGTCTCTCCATTATGAGATCCATTATCTTTTATCGTCTTCATCATTGTTTTCATCCTCATCATCGTCACCACCATCACCACCTCCACCGCCATCATCATTATCATCATCATCTTCATCATCACCACCACCACATCCACCATCACCATCATTATAACCATTATCATCTTAATCACCATCATCTTCATCAACATCATCATATTCATATTCTTCTATTCCTTATCCTCCTCTTTTATATTCTTCGACTTCTTTTTCTTCCATCCTCATCCTTCTTCTTCCCTTTTTCTTCTCCTTCTTAATATCATCCCTCACTTCTCACTCTCTGTTTTGTTATCCCCATTTTGAATTACAAGTATATATTCAAAGGAAGTGGGTGTAGCGTCTTGAATAAGGACATGTTTTATTCCCGTTTGAAAGACCCCCTGCGGAATACAAGTGTAGTTATACGCTTCGTTTAAAGCGAGGGTAACGTCATCTTGACATCTCAGATGGGGTCACTGGATGCGGCCCACGCTGTCAGACAATCACCATGGGAACGGGAGGTTCAAGCTTGTTGCGCTGTTGTTCCTTGTTATATTATATGCATAATAGTTTAGTCAGCAGAATTGGATAGCAAAATAGGTTTATTTATCTCTCGAGTTTGATTCCTTACGCAGGTGTAAGACAGACAGACGGAAGGTAGTATGAAGGATGCTGATGGTGCAAAAGACAGTAAAGCTATAAGCGGTGTAAAATTAAAGGCCTTTTGTGAAAGGTAAGGCTTTAAGGAGACTCTGGGACGCAAAAAAATCTAGCCAGCAATAAAACCAAGATCATCAGACACCAAGTATAAGACCTTTGAAATTGTTATAAGGCATTGGTGCTCTAAACCTGGGAACCGGGTTCGATTCCCGGCGGAGACATTATTTTTCAATCTTTGCAAAAATTTAAAAAGAAGGACAGCTATATAAATTACGGGGAACTTTAATAGATATACGCACCATTATTCTCTTATTTAAATTATCTTACAATGATATATAACGATATCATGCTATGTCTATATCCCGTTTCAGTAGTAGGCCTATTCACATAATTCCAGCGTCGGTAAAATTCGGGACCAAAGCCTCATGTATACCAGACAACGTTTTGGAATTTGATTAGATTGATTAGGTTACTTAGAGGGAGGAGGAGTATGTCTCACCTCGATCCCTGGAGGGAGGGTGCACTCGCTAGGCTAGCAGGTGAGTTAACCTACAATGTCAATCACCTCAGTTACACCGCTATACACCGACTCACCAAAACAGTGCGTCCCAGAAAAAAACGAAATCGAGAACTATCGATGTTTGATCAACTTAATCGCAACTATAATTAATAAATGACACATTTTATTTGTAAAGCTTAGATCCTCCTCTTTTATTAATTCCATTAACTCATTATGTTGCATATTTCACGCATGAGTGATTAAAAACAATTTGAAGAAAGGATACCAAAAAGTCATTTGGCGAACGGTATCTGAATTTCAAAGAGAAAAATCCTATTTCTAGAAAGTTCATTTTTTGCCCTTTTCATATGATTATGACACCTTAATCAGGAAAAATGAGCCAGGAATAAAAAAATAAAAAAAGTTCTGTTTATTTAAAGTAATGCTTGAATTTCCATAATTTTATCAAACGAAATCGTTTTTAATGGCTGCCTGCCCTAACAACAAACAAAGAAAGACTTCATCCATGTCTGATCGTCAACGAAACTCTGTTTGTTGCTACGGCAGGCAGCCAATGAAACGAAATTCGTTTAATAAAATTATGGAAATGCAAGCATTACTTTAAACAAACAGAACTTTTTTATTCCTGGCTTTCTCTTTCTTGCCGATGCTTGCCTACTATAAGGGTGTTACTTTTAGTGTGTAATTTTAGGGTGTTGTTTATTAATACATTTTAAGGGTGTATTTAGGGAGTTTCTTTTTTAAATTTGTTTAAATGAATATGCACGTGTCTCTTTGTTTAATTATGCATTTGCGTATAGTGATTTTAACCCCTCGGTGGAACAGCGCCACCATGTTAGTGGATGCTGAGTAGGACCACCCAGCAGTCTATCTCTTATAATTGTATAGTATGTGTACATATTGTGTAATGTTTCTATACTGGTACTTCTTTTTATACGGAAATAAATTCAAATCAAATCAAATCAAATCTTAAACGTGCATTCTAATGGAATTGAAGGTCAACATTAAGAGGGTGCATGCCTCTAGCTCCCCCTACCCCCACCTGGATCCGACATCGTCAAGGGCATAGTAATCAATTTCAATTTCAATTTCTATTTATTTATTTTTCCAACGAAACATTACAAATCAATCATATACAAACATTTACAACAATATAGAAATACAGATTTGAAACAGAGGGGTCCACTAAAAAGCAATGCTCGTACAAGTATGAACACCTGAAATGATCTTAGGAATGATTAATTAAATTAACAAGTTCTTAACTAAAAAAGGAACAACAAAATAGGGGAAAGGGGGGGGGGGGGTACCAACAGAGACGAGAACGGGACAAGACAGTAATTTACGTGACAAAGATAGAAGAACATGGTCATAATACAAAGAGTACACAATGCCAAAAAAGAAGTGAGAGATCGGGGGTACAGAAAATAAAACAAAATGATGAGTTGCATGTTGGGTTGAGAAAAAGATGAGGAAAGAGAAATGCACATTAGACAGGAGATAAGCATGAGAAGGCACAATATAATATATCAAATTACAACCAACTCGATTCGCCTCAATACACAACTTATTGAATGTTGGCATGATGTTTAAAAAGGTCATTATTTGTCAAGGGCGAATATGTATTTTTTCTCCAAAGGGGTAGTTTCTAATATGTGGGGAGGGAGAGAAGCGAGCGAGCAAACGTTTTAACACTTTACCAAAGTGAACGAGTTATTTCGTCATAACAAATTCACTTGATGAGATAAAAAAAAATTAACACACTGAAATACAATTTTATTTAGTAACCCAAAACAGAAGTGACGGCTGCCCAAATAGTGGGGGCTACAGCCCATACCTACACCCACCCCTCCCCCGCCTTCAACGCCTATATACTGCTATTCGCCCTACGTTAAAAAGACCGTGTATTACTGGTAGTGGTATGGATAATTTTTAAGTTGTCTTGCCTCTCTTTTTACTGACTGAAAGGATTATTACAAAAACGATGTCACATCAAAAAGATTGCTCTATAGCGCTCACATAATTGTTTTTGTTCACATATCAACATACTGGTACATGTACATGCTTGTAATGTTACAGAATGCTGAACTTTAAAAAAAAAATAATGGTGAACATTAACTCATTTAATAAAAGTTGAAACTGAGGACTGTAACTAAATTTCACTTATTATCATATTGTCATCTTTAATTCATTTTAATCATCGACAAAATTTCATATAAACTGTATTTGAGAATGGCAATTACTATTACATTTCGTTTTATGTTAGTGCAGAATAATAGAAAAACGAAACAAACAACAAAAAAGCAAAGAAAAAAGGATTTCATCCTGAGCCTTTTCAACCATAAACACTGTCAAAAACAAAACATATGTTCTTAATTATGCCTTTTCATGCTTATCTCCTTTTTTATGCGGATTTCTCTTTCCTGCTCTTTTTCTCAACCCCACATAAGTATATGCAGCTCATCATTTTGTATTATTTTCTGTACCCCCGATCTCTCCCCTTTTCTTGGCATTGTCTACTCTTTGTATTATGACCAGGCGCGGATCCAGGGGGGGGCCGAGCGGGCCTTGGCCCCCCCCCCCCCCCCGCAAAAAAAAAAAAAAAAAGAGAGAGAAGAAAGGAAAAGAAGGGAAAGAGAAAGAAGAGAGAAAGGGAAAGAAAGAAGAGGAAGAAGAAAAGAAAAGGGGGAAGAAGGAGATTGGGGAAGGCGAAAGGGCCTTGCCTCCCAGGCTGTTGACCCCCCCCCCCCCCATCAAAAAAAATAAGAGAGAAGGAAGGAAAGGGAAAGAAAAAAGGAAAAGAGGAGATACTGGCGTACTGAAAGGGGGGGGGGGGCTTGGGGGAAATCAAATTCAAACGTGGTTTATTTCTAATTCCACAACGGTGGATTACAAATAATGCTGAAATGACATAATTTCCGAGATTTTTCCTCACTTTTTAGTTGATTCCTACTTGTCAGGGCCCGAGGTACGGCGGGGATCGGGAGCCCCGAGCCCCCCCCCTACTTTTTTGAAAAAGTATATTAAAGAGAAATAAAATAGAATGAGAGCAAGAAAGAAAGAATAGTTAACTGCCAGTGTTGAAAAATAATGAGGCATCAAAATATGCTCATCTGACCGTGATTAATGCCTAAAACCCCTAAGCTTCCAGGGGCTCTGCCCCCTGGATTTCACCTAGGGCCCTACGGCGGGCCCTTAGATGCTCATCTGACGGTAATTTAATGCCTAAAACCCCTGATATTTTGGGGCTCCGCCCCCTGGACCCCACGCCAAATAGTGACGTGCCAGTCTCACAAAATAATAAGGTATACAAAAAATGCTCATCTGACCTTAATTAAACGCCTAAAACCCCTGAGCTTCCGGGGCCGGCTCCGCCGCCTCGACCCCCCCCCCCCCCCCCCCCCCCCCCCCCCAGGGGCCCTAAGACGGCCCCTGATTCAGACAAGGATTAAGAGTATAGAGAATGATACAACGCATCGTCTTCTTTCTCTAATAATATAATGAAACGTCAAAGCTTCGCGCAGGAGGGGAGGGGGGGGGGACTGAATTCAGACAAGGATTAAGAATCGAGAACGGTACAACGAATCGTCTTCTTTCTCTCATAATCTTATGAAACGTCAAAGCTTCCGCGCTTCGCGCGTGAGGGGGGGAACCTGAATTCAGACGAGGATTCAGAGGCGAGAACGGTAATACGAATCTTTAATGATTTAATGAAAGGTAAAAGCTTCCGCGCTTCGCGCGGGATGGAGGGGGAACTAAATTCCGATGAGGATTATTTTCGAGAACGGTACAACGAATCGTCTATTTTCTCTAATCGCGCGGGAGGAGGGGGTTGGGGGAGAATCTAAATTCAGACGAGGATTATTTTCGAAAACGGTACAACGAATCGTCTTCTTTCTCTAATGATTTAAGGAAATTTAAAAGCTTCCGCGCTTCGCACGGGAGGGGGGAACCTAAATTCAGACGAGGATTAAGAGTCGAGAACTCGACAACAAATCGTCTCCTTTCTCTAATAATTTAATTAATCGTAAAAGCTTCCGCGCTTCGCACGGGAGGGGGGAACCTAAATTCAGACGAGGATAAAGAGTCGAGAACTCGACAACGAATCGTCTTTTTTCTCTAATAATTTAATGAAACGTCAAAGCTTCCGCGTTTCGCGGAGGAGGGAGGGGGAAAATCGCCCCTCCCTGCACCGACCCCCCCCCCCGCATTACGTCACTGTTGGTCACCATTACGTACCAATATTTGGCTCGCAAAATTTCAAATTTGGGCCCCCCCCCCTAAGAAATCCTGGATCCGCGCCTGATTATGACCAAAGAGATACCAGCAACTCTTTGTTATAACCGTGTTCTTTCGATCTGGTCATGATAAGTTCTTCCTTGTCCCGTTCTCGTCTCTGTTGGCACCCCCCCCCCCGTTTCCCCATTTTATTGTACCTCCTTTTGTAGTTACGGACTTGCTAATTTAATTACTCTTTATTCCTAAGAATCGTTTGAGGTGTTCACACTTGTACAAGCATTGCTTTTTATAGTGGACCCCTCTGTTACCAATATGTATTCCTACATTATTTTCTTGGAAATGTTTATAATTGATTTGTAATGTTTTGTTGGAAACATAAATCAATTAAAATCGAATTGAAATTGAATTGATCAGGTAAAATATACATAAAAGCCCGCCGTATTCCACTAAAATGTAAACATAACGATGGGCTTCAGATTTTGTTTAGACGCGAGTTTAACTATAAAGGAAGTTTGACTGAGTCTGAGTCTGAGTTTTCATTTAAACGTGATCTCAGATCCAGGGCCGGGTTTTAACTCACTTAGCAGAATACGGACCCAAATGGTTGTTTCCAATGAAGTATAACAGTTAAGTGTTTACCTTTCTCGTTAGTGCTCTCTGTTAAGTTGTCCCTTCGACGATCTATTGTCGTGTTGGCATCCTTTTGAATTAAGAGAGCCGAGATGTTTGCCGCGTTGACGAATGGCTGTTTGTTATGCCCGGCAGACACCAAGCCCAGGTTGTTGCCCGGCTCTCTGACTCCACGTTCGTCGCCGTTCCAAAGTCGACCCCGTTGCAGAAACACTTCTGTCGGAATCGGACTATAGTTATATATAAGCAACACGAGTCCTGCAACTGATGCTATCCAAAAGACTCTTTGCTTCCAACGTCGGATGAACACCTTCATCCTAAGGTAGATATTTGACGGAGGAAATATTAAGACATGATAGGGAGCGATCTATAAATAAAGGATTGAGAAGAATAGTTATAAACCCGTATGATGACCATGGTAAACCTCGCGCGCTCTGTTGCTATTCCTCTCTCTCTCTCTCTCTCTCTCTCTCTCTCTCTCTCTCTCTCTCTCTCTTTCGCTCTCTCCCTCTCTCTCTCTTTCGCTCTCTTTCTCTCTCTCTCTCTCTCTCTCTCTCTCTATAGAGTACCGAAGCTGTGACGTCATGAAAATCAATTTTTAGAATTTCTAAAAAAAATTCTTCATTTTCCGAAAGAGCATACAAAATAATGTTCAAATGTCGAAAATCAATTGAATATGTTAAGTATTGGCTGAGATACGACCATCTGAATAAATATATTTCCAATTAGGAACTCGGTGTTATAATGGTTAGGAGCCAGAGCAAATAACACTTGAGTTCCTGTATATTTATTCAGATGGTCATATCTCAGCCAATACTTAACATATTGATTTTCGACAATTGGACTTTATTTTTGATGCTCTTTCGGAATATGAAGAAAAAAATTGCGAAATTTAAAAAAATAGATTTGTTGATGACGTCACACTTCACCACTCTATTACTCTCGTCTCTTTCAGAAGAATGGTCATAAACCTGTGTGATGACCATGGTAAAACTTCTTGCCCTCTGTTGCTGCCCCCCCCCCTCTCTCTCTCTCTCCCTCTCCCCTCTCTCTCTCTCCTTCTCTCTCTCTCTATCTCTCTCACTCACTATCAAATCCATTGTCCGCTGGATATAGGCCTCTCTGTTTACTCTTGTCACGTACTTTATACTAGCCCATAATAAAGAAATTAGAAAAGAGGTATGTAATAAGAAACTACATGCATGCACGCTTCTTGTCTGTGGGCTTATACTTATCCAGGAAAGAGGCAAAGTTGATTAAGCCCACAAGCGGATCCAAGATTCTGTTGGATAAATATTAAAAAAAAAAAAAAAATTGATAGGGAGACCGGGTCTAGTTGTTACAAGAGTGAGTGTTGGCATATATGTAATTTCTACAAAACTGTACAAAAGAGGGAGCTATATAGACTCTAAACGTACAGAAAACATAGTTTAAAGGTAATACAAAGTTTTGGTATGGGGTCATGAATAAGGTTCAAATGAATATATTGAAAGCATGTGCGCTCCTACAATATTCAGTGATCGTTGTCGCGGTTGAAATCGAGTCTAAAGTTATGAAATTGTAAATAATAAACTCTTTTTGTTGTAAAGCTCCCTCTAAAGGTCAAAATATGAATTAAGCTATAAAACAATATTTCTTGACTAAAATCGACCGATTCGCTATTCCCATTCGGAAATTATATATCACAACTACATATTCTGAGATTTTCATGGTCGCAGCTACCATTGTACGGCCGTAGGCGCTATTTGAAATTTATCAAGATTTACCGGGAGCACCGGTAAATTTTTATATTCAACTTTTCTCGAAAGCAGAAGTGTTTTAGGGGCTAAATTTCATAATGCTTATAATACATCCACAGGGGCATCCAAGTATATCAAAATTGTAAAGAATCACTATCCACCCAAATTTCAAAATTTCCCAAAATCTTGTATTACCTTTAATACGAACAATAATTACATGTGGGGTTTAGCGGTGGTGGTCCACAAAGTGCAGGGGCGGCGATCCCGGGGGGGGGGGGGGGGGGGGGGAGGGGGGGGGGGGGGGGGGGGACACGTCCCCCCTCATTTTTTTTAGGGAGGGATCGTCCCCCCCCCCCCTCAAAATTTGAGAAAGTGCAAAAAAAAAGTGTATAGCAAATACTGACTAAAGACTGCAATAAACTTTAAGGCTCTGGACGGCACTGGACGGCACGTGAGTGCAGCGTTTAGACGAATAAAAGTGCAAAAATATTCTCGCTACGCTCCCTCGCATAATATTCTTCAAACAAGTAAATCATTGTAGAAAAGTGAAGTGTGAAAAAGGTATATTGCTTGTTTTTATACTATTGTTTTGCTAAGGAATGTTATTTGTTAATACAACAAAACTTCAAAAACCTGTAAGGGGGTAGTCACTTCCGTTACCTTCACCCCTCTCGTTCACTATGCTCCCTCGCACTGGCGTAATGACGGGGGGGGGGGGGGGTTGGTGGCAGTTTCCCTCCTAATAACATTCAAACGTGGTTTATTTCTAATTTGATACCAGTGATTTACAAATGTTGCTGAAATGGCATGGTTTTTCCCTGAGCTTCCGGGGGCTCTGCCCCCTGTACCCCACCAAAGGCCCTAAGACTGGCCCCTGGTTGCTCATCTGACCATAATTAAATGCCTAAAAACCCTGAGCTTCCGGGCGCTCCGCCCTAAGGCAGGCCCCTGGATACTCATCTGACCGTTATTAAATGCCTAAAACCACCGAGCTTCCGGGCGCTCCACCCCCTGAGAAGTAACAAGGGCCCCTAAAGCGGACCCCTAGATGCTCATCTGACCGTTATAAAATACCTAAAACCCCTGAGCTTCATGGGGCTACGCCCCTGGACCCCACGCCAATTTACACTCCACTCGCTTCGTTCGCTTTGCTCTACCTGATCGGAAATACTTTAGCCCCCCCCCCCCACTTTAAAAAACGTTCCGCGGGGCCTGCATGTACCATGTAAGAGTGGGGGTGCGGATTTTTATCTCCCCCCCCCCCCTCCTAAAAAAAAAGAAGATTTTGCTCATTACGCCACTGCTCCCCCGTCCCTCGGATTTCGTCCCCCCCCCCCGGTCATCAAGAGAAATCGCCGCCCCTGACAAAGTGACTGGGGGCAGGCCACCTTTTCTCCTATCTGATTACATTTTGTATAAGTAAAATTTTGTTCACATTGTACCAAAGGTGTGCTGGTCAGGCGCGCCGGAAGCAGTTTGGGATTGGAGGGGGAGGGGGGCAAACATTCCAGGGGCTCACCTTCCAGGGGCAGTGACGTAACGAGCAAAAACGTTTGGAAGGGGGGGGGGGCAGAAGAAAAATCTGCAACACCATCACTCTTACAAGTTACATGCAGGGCAGGCCCCGCGGAACGTTTTCAAAGTGGACTATTAACGATCAGGTAGAGCGTAAAATGGCGTAGGGTCCAGGGCCTGAGCCCCGGTAGGGGGTCAAGGGGCTGAGCCCCCGTAAACTCTGGGGTTTTAGACATTTAATTACAGTCAGATGAGCACCCAGGGCCCCGCCTTAGGGCCCTTAATGGGGTCCGAGGGCGGAGCCCCCGTTAGCTCTGGGGTTTTAGACATTTAATTACGATCAGATGAGCATCCACAGGCCCTTGGTGGGGTCAAGGGGGCAGAGCCCCAATGCCTTAACCACTAGAACATTTTCTAAAATCTTTTTTATTTTTAAAATCAGTTTCTTTCCTATCTATCGTATATTTTCGCGACCCCGGCTGTAGAGATCTATCTTGCACACTTTTTCCTTATACAGGCAGGCTATTGGTTGATTATGATTAAAGTTTGAAAAGGAATCTGGTTGGTATAGCTTTATATTTCTTTATTTTCTTCTAACTGCAAAGAATCAGTGTTTAAAGGGACTTGGTAACATTGTTCAGATGAGAGAAATGGTGCTAAGGTGACTTCAACGGTAAATGTACAATTAAAGATAAACTGAGAGTTTGAGTGGAAACAGATCATCATTAATGATACAAATTGGGAAAACCGATCTGATCGATTGCTTAATTTTCCCAACTATACTGTACATTCAATTACATTTTAGGTGATTGAAAATCGTCACAAAGCAATTAATGGCTCTTTATACCATCCCAAGCATTTAAGAGTTGAAAGACATTTTTAAAGCCAGTTTTATGTCTTATTTCATGGGAAAACGGTTGGGAAAATTCAAAATGGCCTTTCTCTCTCTCTCTCTCTCTCTGTAAGAGGTAGTCGCTGTGACGCCTTCAAAGGAAACCATTGATATCTTTGTGGTTTGAAAATTATTTTAGGACCGTTTGCATGTTAAGGGGTTTAGTACAGTAGTAATTTATACAAAAATTACAGTTTTTCATCAACTTACATCAATGTTACCGAGTCACTTTTTAGGGCAAATACCTGAATTATATGACTGATTCAGCCAACTTTGAATTAGTGCCAACTATTTACAACTTTCAAAGTCTACTATAGTCTACTCAGTTCTCTGATTTTCCCGCTTTAATGATAGCAAAGTACATACTGTACTCTATAGGATTCTATAGAGTACAGTATGTACTTTGCTATCAAGGTTTGGTGTCCATCTCAGTAGGCCTACTAGTCATGTTAGTTATATGAACTTATGCACAATATGCTGAATTATGTAAATTAATTATTTTCATGTTGTACTATTAAAACTACATGTAGTTCATTGTAATGTCCATTTTCATAATTTGATATATTTTTTTAAAATCAGTATTAAAAAAAATCAGATACTGGTTGCAACGAAACTATATATTTAATCCTTCAATTAAATTCAGTTCATGAAAGTAATGCAAATGTAGTTACATCGAATGATAACGAAATGCAAAAATTACAATCTTTTCAGCACAATGTTATATTAATCAAGTACCGGTAGCAATAACCTAGTACTGTTTTCATCTAGAGTAATTTAACAAGATTTCTGTCGCTGAGCTTGTAACTTTTTTTTTTCCCTCCACATTTCGTAACCTCCCTCGATCCCTATCTCACCCTTGTTCCCCATCCCTTTCTTCCTTCTCTCCCTTCCTCTCTATCTTTCTCCCTCTTTCTCTCCACCACATCCTTCCTCTATCTTCTCTTCTCTCTCTCTCTCTCTCTCTCTCTCTCTCTCAAAAAGAAAAGAAAATGCACTGATTAATGCATTGTACAGTGAAGTGTGACTTGGTCGCAAAAAAAAAAAAAAGCACACCATTTTTATTTTCTATATCATTTTCTATGCAGCACAAAAAAAAATAACTTGAGCACAGCAAAGCATTTTCATCACAAAGCATGAAGTCTGCCATAATTTTGTACATGTGCGGAAAGTTTCCAACTTTCACGCAGAATTAAAAAGACTTTTGCAATAAAAAATTCTGAAGTAAATAACCTACATGACATTTAGAAACAAAACAAAATATAATGAAGAAACACAACACAGACTCAGAAGGAATAAGCTGCCAAAAGTTTCACCCCAAATGCTTAATAACTCAAGACGAAATGTAATTTTTAAGCTTTCCCTTGATAGGGCATTTGTCATCATTTTTTTTGTCTCAGCAGAAATTTTGTAAAACTTTTGTTTGTAGCCAGGGCGTTAACTCATGAACTTTAACAAAAAGTTAATCCCCTTCTGGCTTGACTGAGCAGATGAAATATCACATAAACAAAAGTGGATCAAATAATTACGATAATGTCAATTGAATTATTTTGTACATCTTGCCTGTGAGAGATATGTACTTATGTGTGTCACTTCCAGCTGGAGAGCGTGCGTATGTGTGTTTGTGGGAGGGGGTGCCTAGTCTTACAACTGCCCTCCCCAAACTATCCTACATGGTAAAAGCCTTCTAGTTTACACAAATTAATGCATCCTTCAAAATGATTAGCACCGCTGGAAAAACATTTCCATGTTCCTTGCAAAATTCACAAAAGAAAAGCAACAGGTATAAGCCTTACACCATTCATATCAACAAAAGATAATGCATTAAAGATTAATGTGAATGTAAACATAGACCTCGGTCAGAGGTTCGGAAGCCAAATTCCTCTGATGATTCGTCTCATTTTTTAGACGTCTTTCACTATAGGTACCCTTAGAAACAGACAATCACTCGTAACAATTTTTAATTTTTCACCATCAAGAATCAAACCATAGGAAATTTCACTGGCTGTTTACATGACAAATAAAAGGTATAAATGAAATGCAACAATTAGACAAATTCATTCATTCAGGAATGTATTAATGGGGCACTTTGCATTATTTGTTGCACCTATATATTTTCACACATTGACTCTGAACGGATTTAAAATTCAAACACATACATAAAAGCAGTTATTTCCATTTATACAGCTCACTCCTATAGAACCCAATCAAATGATTGCAATTTGTTTACTGCGACTATCCTATGTTTTTGTCAATCAAAACGATATCAAAACGATAGCGATAGTTTCCAGTACTATCCAAGGACTTTTAAGAACACAATGTGCAGCAGTATACAAGTGAAGCTAGGTGCAAAGATGCCAACTTATTCTGATGTTTTTCTTCTTCCTAAACCTTGGTAATTCTGACCATAAATTACTAAAAATATTCTATACAACATACCGTAAATATAATCTTTTCATAGTTATATTTGGTCATCAATATTTAAATTAAAAGATTTGTTTCCACTACACAAATGCTTTACTGCTCTATTTCATATTTCTTCAGCCATAAGCCCTAAACTGATTTTGACCTTGGATTCAAATTTAAAATCCATTTAATCAGGAAAGCATTTTTATATAAAGATACTCCATATTGGCGCTCTCTATGAGTATTCTAAAGTGATCATATCATTATGCACTCCAGCTATGAGCTTGCTATAGGAGCCTTTAATACAAAGTTGTATTGTCACATTCATAGTTATCTTCATAATCATAAACAGACGGAGTTCTGATGAAATTCATATGTACATACCTTCCGATACCCCTGAAAGGTCTACAGTGTATTTAGAATAGTACAATCATTACATCGGCAGTAAATGTGATATTCACTATTTACTAGTATTTATTCAATAATATCGTTCAGGACTTCAAGAAAAACAGAGTACATTTAGTCAGTGAAAAACTTCTATATTACATCATTGTATCATAAAGCAATACACACACTGAAAATACATAACTGTATTGCCATTACTTATATATTAATACCCGCACAACAATTCACTTTCATTACAAAATGTACTTTCGTACAAAATACAAACATTTATCGACATAGAAGTAGTAGTTATTGTAGAACCAGCTACAAGCACAACAAGTGATATGATAAAACAAATTGTTATTCTATAGGCACTTACGATTTACATCATGATTTGGAAATCAATGCATGTTCAGTCCCTTTTCTACAATGGACAGGGTCATTGTTGACCTTTGACATGCTTCATTTTCTCTTCTGTGTAAATCCACAACAAAAAAACATCAAACAAACATATTTTGTGACCTCTAGAACCATCATCTGTAAGTGCATAAAATACATTGAAGTATTAAGTACATTACCTGTGTAGTAAAGTTTACCCTTAAGTAATTTCTAACCTTTTTACAAGTTTGGGGGTATATTAAAAAATGATGTAAATCCACACACTCAAACAACAAACTTTGAACAATAAGGTGCATTTCAGAATATAAAAAAAACAAACAAAATACTTTTCATCATATACAAGTGCTGTCTAAAGAGGTATTACTCTTTAAAGAGAAGATTGAGTTCTGGGAAGAGGTGAACAATAATTTGTGAGCATAATCATTGTTATTATGCAAGTGTGGAAGAACATAAGATTAAAAATGTTCCCTGAAAAGCATGGCTCTTCAAATGCCTTAATATTCTAAATATGGCATGTAACAGCAATAAAAATCAGGACGCATTTTTACGCCACATTTTCGTGTAGTCCCATATACATCTTTTTGTGTACAGTGCTTGTAACTTTACCAAGACTGGGCTAAATTTCTTATCATTTTGATGATTCCAGAACCTTGCAGGACACACAATACTTATATGCTACATGATCAACCTTTTCTGATCGATTCCACACTGTTTCTTTCACAATGCAATCGCATGACCAGAACTCAACTTTATCTTTAAACCTCTCAAATCTTTTTTATTTCTCCTGTACCAGAGGTAAATAATCTGTCAAAACAATAAATAATATCATATGGATTTTGAAAAATGAATCTACAAAAAAACCCTTCACCTATTGCTATATCTTTCATCAATCCTATTGCCTGAAATACTCACGCATCAATAAATCAATTTTGGCATTCAACAACATTGTTCCTGCATTGTCCAATAAAATCAACTCATCGTAATTCCCTTGTATTAAGACAAACAAATCTGCTACAATAGCTAACTTGACATGAAGATAACCTACTTTGAGGTCTGTTAACAGATTAACATTTTGAGAGAGTTTCAGGGTTTACTGTGGAATTTTGATGTTGTCAAGGTGAAGTAATACTTTGGTCTCATGATAATGGAAATAACCAGTGTACACACGAGCTTATATCATTTATTCATTCATGGTAAAATATTTTACATCTTCTAACACAAAAATAAAAGAAAAAGATCCAACCCCCTTACTTTACAACTTCCATATCAATACAAATGTATGTGTTATATGTAAATAAATAAATAAATAAATGAATACTAAGCATTTCAGTTTGTACGTTGATATGTTACAAACTGAACAGAATGTGACAAGTTATATTTAAACTATACAAATATTGCATGTTCTGGTGTTAATAATTCAGATTTCCTCAGAGTGAGGTTATATTACACTTAGGCCGCAAGCCGAGGTTGAAATATAATGGCACAAGGAAATTCTGCATTTGGAGTGTATATCATATTTAACAACAAAATGCGTGCAATTTTGTTACATAAAATGGAGGGAATTTGCAATCCCTTGAAGGACGAGACCCTCTCAACTACATTCAGGTTGGCTTGGCTTGGCTTCAGATGCGTGAAGCTAAGGTAGGAAGGAATTCCTTGAATGCTGTGAGCACCGAAATCGGTAGCCTAGCAGAGCCGGGTAATATTGGAGCGCTCTGAGTACCTTGCAGGGTGGATATGTGCGCTATATAAATATCCAATATTATTAAGGCAATACAAACAATAGGTATGCATTTTACAGTGCAAACAAGTTTTTTATATTGCACAGTCGTGCCATGTGACACCTTTCAGCCAATCAAAGACCCCTTCTGGCTCTCAACAGTACCATGATCCTTCCTCAGATACTCGCGTTAAGCCCTCTTAATCTAACCAGATCATCGTACTCCTCATCCAGAGCCAGACATCTCTCAAACTCTCTCCTGAGTTGGTCCGCTTCAGCCGAGCCGCCAGAGTCTCCCAGGATGTCTCCAGAGTCTTCTGTCGGATCGGTGCAGTCTGGTACGTCACTGGTATCCCTTGCGCCTGAAATCATCAAGAAGAAGAACAGCAAATGAATGTGATATTATTCTAGTTTAGCAGCAGATAATGTAGGATAGTTTGGTCTTGTTTGCCCAAGGTAGCCTCATCAGTATCAATGCTGTTCTTTCTGAGCGTCCTGAGGCATGTTTCAACAAAGACTAAGATCAACTTTAAGTTGGACTAAACTATGGCAGACCATTCATGCCACTGTTTGCTATAACCATTTACTGGCATTGGTCGCTCAAGGGACGTACAAATCATGGTCACAAATCTACAGAATTTACATTTTTTTATAGTTCATTATTGAAGGAAAAGATATTATCTAAAGATCATAATGATGAGTCCAAAAAGTGGCATGAACGGCCTGCCAAAGTTAAGTTCAACTTAAAGTCGATCTTAGTCTTTGTAAAACACTCCCCTGAAAACATTATTTCCCCGGCATAGCCAGGTAACCATCTACACCCGGGTGGAGAGAGACAGATGTGGGTAAAATACATGAACCTTGTCCAAGGATGTAGGCATCGAGCAAGGATCGAACCTGGGACTCTTCATATGGGAATCAAGAGCCTTTACAAATAAATATACTATAGTGATCCCATATGATCAATAAAATAGATTCCTTTGTGGAGCTGTCCTGTGCCCATCTTACAGAGTTGAAATCAATCACAATTTATTTGCGATTGATATCAATCGCAATTATGTACATAAGAGAAAGACTACAAACTTGCGATTGACTGAAGGACTTGCAATTGATTAGGATCTATCCCAACTCTTTGTAAGACGGAGCCCAGGTAAAGCGGTTCATTCACTTGACTATAAAGCCATGGGTTGAGGGTTCAAATCAAAGCCCGGCACTAACGTCCTTTGGCAATCCAGGTTTGTTAATTTTCTTACTCTCCACCCAGGTGTTAAATGGGTTTTTGATAGGATGTAAAGTCATTGTAGTTTCGCTCAGCATTTTCAGGGCCTGTAAAATGACTGGAATACTCCCCAGGGAATGATCATGCATTACACTTTTGAATGTGAATTGATATCACCGGGGTTATAATTCATAACCAGGTCAAAGTAATGGAGCACCGAAATGGTTCCCTCACATAGCTATCGCATGTGGGAGAGAACTTTTTTGGACCTCCAGGAATTGACCTTTGAGTGCGCACCCATGCATGTGGTGCAACTACATCTCTCTAGCAGCTATATGGCCTGCATACCAGTAGCCTGGGTGATACATGTATGTTATGAAGTCATAAATGGCGTAAAATGAAACATGAAAATCCATTCTAGAAGGTACACTGACATAGTTTTTTACAAGAAATATAATGCTTCATGTATATTTTGCATGCCTTCAATACATTCACATATCAACATATTGGTACATGTACATGCATGTAATGTTGATGTTACAAAATGCTGAACTTAAAAAAAATGATAGAAAACATAAAATCACAACAACAAAATCTCAAGTCTTAAACTATATTTCATTATTATCATTTATAAACATATTTAAAAACTGCCCTTTTCAATGATGCTCATTTGTTTTAATTATGCGATCTTGGAGTGCCCAGAGCATAACTAAATTAACTATTCTCATTTTCGAGAAACCATGCGGATCTAGTAGGATTCTTATTTTTTCTGGCCAACAAGATCATACTATACATTATTTGTTAATTCGAAGAGCATTACCTCCTAAAATAATCAGTGTCTAGCAAAAATGTATAAAATCAACCTAAAACAGGAAAAGAATTGGCATTCTATTTAACAAAAAATGAGGTATACCGTAAAGAAAACAATTACTAATAACATAGATACCGCTAACATGTTAGAGTGCCAAGAAACATCTCTAGTACTATGTCTGTGCAAATTTGCATCAAATTAATCAGTGTGTTATTTGTTAAAAAGTAGGATTCAAATTTTCTCTGGCCAATGAGATCATACTAACATTATTTGTTAAGTGATCTAAGAGCATTAATCACCTCCTAAAATAATCTGTGTATAGCAAAAATGTATAAAATCAACCTAAAAAAAGAAAAGAATTGGGATTTTATGGGTTAACAAAAAATTAGGTATGAAGAAAATAAATAATAACATACATAAAGGGTTAGAGTGATGGCACCAAGAGACATCTCTAGTACTAAGTCTGGGCACATTAACATCAAATGAATTAGTGTGTTATTTGTAAATGTATAGAAACAGCACTACTATATGGAGGGGCGATATAGCTTGTACTTAATGGCTGGGGTGACAAAATTTCATGCTCGATCGTTAAAGCTTGCAATGGCAAGTTCTCAACGCATGCAGACGACGACAACGTCTTACTTCAAGCAGTCAGAGACAACTGCCTCTCATACTCTCTCCTACACAGCTTAGCCAATGCTTCATCTTCATCACCGTCACTCCATTCCTCTCGCTCGCTGGGAGGTGGGCTCGGGTCAAAGTTCGCTAGTCCCACTCCTTTGTCTACGTGTAGGGTATGTGTGTGTGAAGCATGGGGGAAGAAATTAAATGCAAAGTGGGAACTGTTGAGATGTATTCTTAGGTTTTCTCTCCGTCTTTGGAGTCTTCCTGAAAAGGACTATTTGTGCTTCAGATGCCTAGTAGGTCATCATTCATTGGCAGTCTATCATTAACGATAGACTCCATAGTACAATTCTGCTGGCACTGTGGAAGCCACACACTTTGCAAGCATAATGTTGGTCAATTAATGTATTAAGACAGCAGATTGCTGCAGCATGCACGGCATGCTCTATGCAGCCTGATGGGGCTCAAGATCGCTAGTAGGTCAATTACATTTAATGTATTTTGAAAATGTGCTTGAGAAAAGTTCATGATTTCAAAGGAACTGTGGAGAGAGAGTATAAAGAAGTAACAGTAGATTTACTGGATAACTTTTTAGCACAATGTCCGAGTGCCGCATTAAGTCCATGTGTATATATATCATTTGTTTAGAGCCTGAGGGGAGTTAAAACAATCCTTTACTGACCTTCAGGCGGCATGACCTCGTTCCATTTGTAGATGCTGATGTCCATGGGTTGCTGCAGCCAGCCACTGCCATGGAGCTGTGTAAGGGTACATCTGAACTCGGGCTCAGGGTGAAGAAGCCAGGAGACAAGCTGCATCAGAGCTGTTAATAAACATTTCATAAAATCACAGTTAGGCCTAAAAGAAAAGATGTTGTATCGCCGACCCCAAAATCTTGAAATCTATGGTCGGCTTTTTAAAATAGCTTTTTTTTTACCGCTTTTTAGAGAAAGAAAAAAATTAAAGCACTCAAAACTAAGAAACATCAGCCCAAAGAGGGAGAAAAAAAAAGAAAAGAAAAAGTTTTAAAAAAGAAAAAAGAAAAAAGATTTCCGACCAACCGAACCATGTTTTGGCACCTAAAGGGCAATACAAAATATTTTTTCTAGGCTTTATAATGTGTTAGCGATTAGTCGATCCCAGCAAAAGGCAGAAACTTAATTTGTGAGCCATCTTACTCAGTTTGGAAACAATGAAAAAGTGTTTTTGAAAATGTGTCTATTCTCGATGTTAACCCTGGACATTATCCTATTAGATATTTTGAAAATAATCTCTGATCTCAAAGCCCAGTCACAATATTGATGTGCTCAAACATTTGCTCTAGCGACTACTGCTCCAGGTTTTATTTGGTCACAAGGATAGGGTTAGGGTGACAATTGGGTTGAGGGAAGGTTTGGAGTTTGTGGTTTAGGGTTAGGGTTAAAATTGGTTTGAGGATAGATGCAGGGTTAGGGTTGGGTTAGCGTGACAATTTGGTTCAGGTTAGGTTTGTAATTAGGGTTTAGGGTTAGTGTTATAATTGGTTTAAAAGTAGACGCAGGTATAGGGTTGAAATTGGGTTCAGGGTAGGTTTGGGGTTAGGGTTGGTGATCAGGGTTATGTTTAGGGTTTGGGCTAGGGGGACAATCAGGTTGAGGGTAGGTTTGGGGTTAGGGTTAGTATTATAATCGGTGTTAAGGTAGACGTAGGGTTGGGGTTTGGATTTAGGGTTTGGGTTCAGGTTACAATTTAGTTCAGGATAGGTTTGGGGTAAGGGTTTAAGGTTAGGGTTAAGTATAGTTTTGAGTCCAGGGCTGCACTTAGTGTAGGAAATTACCCTGGAGAAACTTTAGCAGGTGGTTCAACCTGCAGAGGACACAACTCACTTGTAGATACAGCGAAGGGCGGCTTCAGGATGGCTTCGATGGTCTCTTCTACGTCATAGAAAGGGTTCTCTCCAAACACTAGTGTATAGAGCATTACTCCTAGAGACCAGAGCTCCAGTTGTGGCCCTTCATATCTGGGGATTTAAGAGATACAGAAAGATGGAGGAAGGGGGAGGGGGATGAGAGAGGGGGATGGAGAGCCGGTGAAGGAGAGGAGAGAGAGAGAGAAAGAGAGAGAGAGAGAGATGGGAAGAAGAGAGTCGGAAGAAAGGGGGATGGAGAGCGGGTAAAGGAGAGAGGAGAGGAGAAAAAGAAGAAAAAGAGAGAAGTAGAGAGAGAGAGAGAGAAGGAGGGGGGGGGGGAGAGATAGACAGGTAGAAATATTGAAGGAACAAGAAAAGGAGAGACAGATAGAATGAAAAATAGGACCAATAGAGGGAAAGAGACAGAGAGATAAAGAGCGAGACAGAGTTAGACAGAAAGAAGAAAAAGAAGGAAAAGAAATACTTTAAATAATGGGTAGAATCATATATTTCTTTTCTTTCTTTTTTCAGTCATGTATACATGCAGGGAAATAAGGGAATATAATTATTTTTTACATAATACTTGGCTGAAGTATATTAGTACACTTCAAAACTGTACTGTAGTCTAAAGCTGTGAATCTGCTTATGGACACAATAAAAATAAAATAAAAGCAATACATACATGTAGGTGGCTGAATATATCTTTTATTCATGTAAGGAGCCTTTTAACACTTCTTATGCAGTACATATGTGCTACACACAAACTGTCCATGTCCTTTGAAAGCAATTCCTTTACAAGCGACTTGCCAACCAGTAATCTGTCCATGTTGAAAAATATTTCTTTCCTATCTGAATAACAATTTTTGTTTCACTTGTACTAAAGAGCAGGGGGAGTTCATATTATACATTTGTCAGACCATAGACGTAATAGAAATGGACTTTCGACGGCAAGAGTAGTAAAAGTAATGATAGCTACCACCTGTTCTTATGTCTTACTTTCTTCTATGTTTTTAGTCTGACCGCAACGCTGCGGGCATGTTTTGATAAGCTCCGATAAGGGTCCTTTGGTCCTATGAGATCCACCGGGATTTTGCCGACCTCTATCGGCCAAGTCGCTTCGCACTGACCAATGCTTCCCACGATTTGCGCTTCTCATTTCATGAATGAATCGTGACAGGAGAGCCTTCTGCCCATGCGCAGCTAAATACTACGTCAATAGTGCCCCGGATGTAAACATGAGGTTTACGTCCTGTTCATGCTCGCCAATCTGTAAAAAAAGCCGTTGAAATCGGTGATTTCTTCGATTTTTTACGAATTTGTGTTGGTGTGTAGCAAACTCATCATATAAGCAAGGAAAGTCACCACAAGAGCTTACAAAATACGGTTTAAAAAGTGTTTTTTTCTCCTGTTTCCGTTAATTTCTCTGTGAAACCAACGACGTTGTGGTGATCACAAATCCTTCGTTTGTCGAATACAATCATTCGTTATTTGTTGCGTTTGCGTGCGTTTTTTTTATAGGCATTGGAAGAATGGGGTTGTTTTCGTGAGTGCTCAGAAAATCTGTGGTAATGCGTGACTTCTTCGCATCATGACCATTAAATTGCCGTGCCTTTGTCTAATCCAAATTGCACACGTAGTCCCATTGATAGAGATCGGCGGGTGCATGTTTTTTTCAAGTTATATTTTGGACTTGTTAATCCGAGAGTGACTGCTTTTTTTTTTCTTCCCTCAGATTTTATCTTATTTTATCTTGATGTAGGCCTACTATATGTGTACGTTTTTTTTGAGAATCTAGGAATTAGGATAAATATCTGTGTCCGTAAATTTGGGAATTGACCATTGCAAAATATTCAACATTTCCGTCGTCTGCTATGTCGATATATGGACTGCCCATCATAATCATAAAGTTCTTCCTTATTTATGTCATCTAATGATAATCCTGCCCTTCTAATTACTTTATAAACAACACATGACTCATGAGTACGAGAAAAATATGTATTATGGAACAATACACACATCGAAATAAATAATAATTGTTAGTATAAATACAACGCTGAAAACAATAACAATAATATCGTCAGGCACAAAGACGAAAACATGTTCGCTACGACCGCATGGCGGAGAGTGCTCATACTATTTAACACTAGGTTCTCAACGATTTGAAGGAGCAGCGAACAACCCCAAATCGCGAGCTTGCTGTTGCGATTATGAAAGATTGCGCAAGTGATTGCATCCAGCTGTCGGGTTGCGGTGGGACCACCGCTGGGTTTTTGCATCGGCGCGAAATTTAAACCTTGCCGGTGGAACTCATAGGATCAAAGAAACTGCTTCGTCGATAGTCCATTCTATTACGTCTATGGTCAGACACTAGGAGTAATTGGTCTCTTGTACAAATGTATCTCTTCGTAAAGCGGTAACTATAACTTTCGATCATGATGATGATGATGATGATAATAAAGATAATAATGATGTTGATGAGGATGATGTTGATGAGGATGATGTTGATGATGATGATATGATAATGATGATGATGATGAAAATGATATGATGATGATGATGATGAAGATGATGATGAAGATGATGATGATGATGATGATGATCACGATGATGAGGATGATGATAAAAATGAAGATGATGATAATGATGATGATGATATGATGATGATGACGATGATGATGATGAAGATGAAGATGATGATGATGGTGATGGTGATGATGGTGATGATGATGGTGACGATGTTGATGTTGATAATGATGATGATGACGACGACAACGACGACGACAACGACGATGATGATGATGATGAGTGTGAAAGCTTGTTGGTATTTCCATTTGACTGCATTTGAGTGCATTGCGGAAGTGACCTATTGGTATCTCATATTATTATGTGAATGTTCTTTGAAATTTGTTATGTTATTCATGTTCATTTCAGTTTTTAACTGCCAGACACGAAGATGTCAATAAAATCCATTTATCTATCTATGATGATGATGATGGTGATGTAGATGATGATGATGACGACGACGACGACGACGACGACGATGATGATGATAACGATGATGATGATGATCACCATGATGAGGATGATGATGATGATGATGATGATGATTAAGACATTGATCTATCCTTACCTATTTCCAAGCAGGACTTCAGGGGAGCAGTATTCCAGTGTTCCACAGAACGTGGAGAACTTCTTGCCTGGCTGCATGTATGCTGCCGAACCAAAGTCAATCAGTTTGATTTGGAACTTCTCGTCCAAAATCACGTTTTCGTCCTTGATATCACGATGTACAATGCCGTGTTCATGAAGGTACTTTACTGCTGCTACAACCTGATAACAAGCCAAAAAAAGTTTTCAGGTTTTAGTTCAAGTTTAAGTTTATATCCACTTTAAAAACAAACAAAAGCAGGAGATACATTACAAAACAGAAGATACGTTGATTAGCTGCAATTTCTATTTGATCCCCCTCCCACCAATTTTCATATAATAATAATAATAATAATAATAATAATAGTGGGTTCTTGTATAGCGCTCATGTCAGTCAGATTTGACCTCCTGGCGTTCCCGATTATTACACATGTATGAGTATTATTTCCCTCCAGCGCAAACAATTTCTGATCAATATATCATAAGACATGTTTGATATTATAAATAATATTGATCTCATTATAAATTTCCTTAATAATTTCCCCCTCCCCCTCCTTGCGTAAAAAAGAAAAGAAAAAGGATTTGGGAGAAGAAAAAAAATCGGGGAAATTTTTTATTTTTTTTAAATCGGGAATCCAATTTAAATCAGGTAATTATCAGGCCTGTAATGTGTATAAAAAATTAAAATCTCAAGCAAAATTATCTATCAAATCTGCTAGTAACCCTTTACCTTTGACGAAATTAAGCCCAGAGCGATTCTCGAAGGAGCAAAATGTAGGGTCACTAGATATTTATTTACCTGTCTAAACATATAGCTGGCGAGGGCCTCGTCAAAGTTAGGCTGACGGTCGATGAACTCAAAGAGATCGATGCCGGATCCATGCTTCTCCATCACTAGCTGAAAGAATTCATCGTTTTGAAAGCTGTCCACAGCCTAGAAATAGAAAAAGATATGTTGACTTCTATTACACTCTAGGGATCAGGAATATCAACACATACATTAAATTGGCAACTACAACTTGGATGTGATTGCCAGTAAAGATGGTTTCAAATAGACCCAGCAAACCTTCCTATAGTTGTGACATAGTTACTAAAATGAAACCTGTGCATAAAGACAGTACAAGAACAGCGGTCTTTATAGGCAAATGATCTTTATATACAGTATTCAATTCAGTTTTCAACGAAAGAATCTGCCCTAGAGAAACAAACAAATATAAAGTCATCATAGAGAAGTGGCATTTTTATACAAGTGGTCTTCTATGCAGGCAGTTGCGAAATGGGTTTAATAGATAGTGAGCTAAAATCTTCCTTATTTTTTTTTTTTACTGCTTTTCAGGAAGGACAATAGCCTCGCCGTATTGTCACTTAAATCCTGTTTTATTGCCATTTCATAGCAGTTTAAAACAGCGAGTTATATGTATCTGTTGTTAACACAATAAGTACACAGAGAACGGCAACGAATCTGCAAATTTCCCTGCATTTTGGTAATTCGGTTCACTGAGGAGGTACAAACTCTCACCTTGACAATGTTTGGATGGTCCAGTTTAGTGAGGTAAGCCACTTCAAGAGGAATACAGCCAAGTTTGGGATCGTCCACCCAGTTCTCCTTCAAAACCTTCGCTCTCCGGATGAACTTCACCACAACCTACATAGACAAGATATCAATGGGAATCAGGGGCCAGTTAACCAAAACCGTCACAAGTCTAAGTTCATAGACATCTCAGAGAAGGTGCATTTATAATTAAATAACCCATGTTTCAATGGGATTTACACAAGGTTAGAATTTTGACAGTTACAAGAAACTGCCTGCAGGTTCAAAGAGTTTCATCTGTAATGCTAAGCAATACAGTGCTCAGATACATGTATATTCAAAATGTTGTATATCTACTAATGAATAGCACACGCCAGGCGAAGTAAAAACACATGACACATATCTTTTTATTTTCTAGGGAGATAATTAATATTTTTCTGTCTCTCCTTACCTCTTTTTTTCTCTTTGTTCTCAGTCTTCCCTTTTCTCTTTCTCTTTCTTTGCCCTGCCCTTGCCCCCTTCCCCTCTCTCTCTCTATACCTCCATCTATGTATCCTCCATCCACCTGTCTGTCTGTCTGTCCGTCCGTCTGAACTCACCATCTTATTATCGGCTATACTCGTGGACTGGAGGCTCTTGAAGTGCCTCTCACATTTCCCTTCCCCGATCATTCATTATCTCCCCCTCACCCTCCCCCCCTCACTATCTCTCTCTTTCACCCTCCATCTATCCATCTGTCTGACTACCCGTACTCACCATCTTATTATCTGCTATAGTCATGGCCATCTTGACGAATCCAAAAGCTCCCTTGCCTATTGACTGGAGGGTCTTGTAGTGCCTCTGGTACTCCCCTTCCCCTAACCTCTGATCATCTTGTTCCATTGAAAGTGACGAATCAAGGTTGATCTTCTGAGCTCCATTGTTTGCTACAATCTAACGGCAAGAGAGAAAGGGATAATAGCTCAAATCATGTGATTCGCAGCCATGTTCTTTCCCGGTTGGATTATTGTAACGGGCTGCTTACAGAAGTCCCTCAAACATATATAATAAGACTTTAAAGTTTACAGAACTGGGCTGCTCGTATTATTTTTTGTTTAGACCGTCGTCACAATGCCATGCCTCTACTAACATCCCTTCATTGGTTGCCAATCAAACAGAGGATTGTTTTTAAGATTCTTTTATTTGTATACAAATTTTTTCATGATCAGGCGCCAGAGTATTTTAGTGACTGTCTTGAGTTGTATCGACCTGTACGTACAAACCTTCGCTCCAATGCAGACTCATTTTGATTGACATTTCATGTGGCTCGTAGTAAGGCAGGAGATCGCACATTCACTGTTACAGCAGCTAAGGAGTGGAATAAACTTCCCTCCAGTATAAAAGCTGCTCCATCAGTGGATGTTTTTAAGAAACTCCTTAAAACCTACTTATTTCCTACTTGATTCGCTATTATTATTTTTTGTTCAATGTTATGTTAAGATTTGTGGTTATAATGTTATATTGCATATTATTGTAAGCACTGTGATACAGTGTACTATGAATAGCGTAGCTAAATGCCTAATAATAATAAATCTAATATTTACTCTGTATATTTATGCGTGTTCGCAGCGTAGTCTACTGACAAATTGCCTTTACCTTGATTTCGAAAGCAAAATGGTAATTAAACTGGAGGGAAACCATAGGAGAAGATGCCAAAACATCTGGCATCAGTCATATGGATCCCACAGACAGGAAAGCTTGTAAAGCAGCCATTAAGGAAATTAAATGTACAACCCCACAAAGTGGGACAAATTGACTTTAAACGCTGATGATGATAGCTCTTTACAAATATTATCTTGGAAGCAGATTTTTGAACATGGGAGGCCAGTGGAAAACCCCAATAACACAAACATAAAACAAACTTGGTAATTTGGCTCCATTTTGAAAATCACTGAAGTCTGCGTTGTTTGTTACGCTCCACTCCCGTTTCATAGATGCAGGCTAGTTCACAGCTAACAACACTCCATCCCTCAGATAGGATGTTAAAGGCATCATTTAACAATGTTAAATCTGAGATGCACGGCCCTATGTGTTATCGGTGTCTGTGATATGGTGTAATATTGAAGCCCTAAAAAAATTGCGCTTCAAAATGATCAAGAAGTGCCTCAAAAAAGTAAAAATCTTTGAGTGACCGGTTTTACCATACTCGTTTTCCCCAATAGGCTGTAGTGTTATGAAAACCGTTTGGCAAACGGTTTTTAAAATTTGTAATTCCAATCATAAATATCTTGATAATCAGACAGACGATCAGCTTGTAAAAGTCATGGGGTTTCTGACTGACCTAAAGGTTTATAGTTATCACTGCAGTATGAGCTAAATTCAGGATTTTGTTTCAGAATCTGAGACAAAGTTACCAGATCCCTTTAAAATGGCGGCCCCATCTAGGGGAGATTCACCACCTTGGCAAATTACGAACCCACTGGACTATTCAAATAAAAGTAGGGGGAAACCACGGATGTAGTGGTGCACCTGTACATCCACAATCAGAAATATTTGGAAGAGAGACCAGAGGGTTACAGTGATTCAGTTCCCTTCTCCTCTCCCAGGCACAGACGACAACAAATACTTAATGATAATAATAACCATAACAATGTTTTACCTCTGACATGCTCTTGGTGTGGTTCGACTGATTGAAAGTGCTGTCGAAACTTGATGCATTGGCCATGCTCGAGGTCATGTGACCAGCGTCTGTAGGCTCAGCTGGGTCACGTGACATCCATATACAGTACAGCGTCTCTCCATCGTCTAAGTCGACCCTCTTCACCTGGAACAAGATGCCTTGAGTGTGTGAAAGGAGACAGAAAGAGGGAATTTGAAGAAAAAAGATAATTTAAAAGATATACTGATAATCTGACTTTTCAGCTAAGCAATGTAGAATTATTAAATTTTATCTATTTTACTGTGATTATTAAGACAATTTGAAATGATTTATGAAAATAATGTTCATATTATATTTATTCTTGGGAGCCTACAAAAACAAGCTATTCTTTCCAGTAGGTTCTTGTTTCATTTCATAATTTTGAACTTACTTTGTCAACTATGTTCTTTATTGTGCAAACAATTGAGATATATGATGGAATAAATTCAAATCAATCAATCAATCAATCAGAATAGGCTAAAAACTTCCCTAAACAAAGACATGGGATCCTAACGAGTATATAACACTGAATACAAGATCAGAATAGTATGAAAATGGAAATTAAAAAAAATGAAACTAATAGTTAAACACACTAGCACATAAGAAAAACTTTGAATTCTATTTTAAATGCAACATGATTCCTTCATAAACTTAATGACTGCACCTTATTATTTAGAAGATTTACCGTTACAAGTGATTTTAAACAAAATTGAACATTCTCTAACAAAATTTTATAGACAATTCAGGATTTTTTAAATTCTCCATTCCTAGTGAGCGATAAAATAATGGTTAAGTAGCACAGAAATAGACAAGAGACGCTACACACAATAAAATCATCTACTAGATGGAGTGGGTAAAAAAGGGAATTTTTTTTGCTTCTCACCAAGCAAGTTGCCATCCCGATGTTTCGCCAAACCCACAAATCCTCCTTCTGGTATAGGTCCTGATGATAACAAGGAGAACTGTCGACCAACCTTCCTGCTGGCTGCTGGTGTCGATGTAAATAAAACCTTCCCGGGATGCATCCCTCCGCCGTCAACCTCAGGCGTGATGTCGGAGCTCTTGACCGATGAGTCTTGACCAATGACCGATGAGTCCTCACTCCTAGCTTGAAGTGCCTCCTCCCTTGTTTTGTTAGTGGGGAGATTGTTATTCGATTCTGGAGTCATCGCGGAAACCTTACATTGGGCGAGCTCGGAGGCTTGGTTGCCTTCCGTCCAGCAAGTCCGTCTGACCTTGTCCTGACCTTCATCTACCCCATCCTCACCCTTCCTTTCCTCTTCAGCATCCTGAGTGACTTCCCTTGCCGTTACTACCTCGTTCTCTTCGCTGTCAACAGAATTCAGATCCAGCTGGATTCCCTCCTTCCCCGACTCTCCTCGATCTCCATCCTCACCGGTTATATTTGCACTTATCCGTTCAGCAGGTTCTTCTCCCTTCTCACCGTCCCCTCGGTTCTGGTCACCAGAATCACACTTTATCAAGTTACCTTCTGTCCTTGGAGATCTAGCAGAACTGTCACCACCACCACCTCCTAAAGAGAGTCTTTCTAATCGAGCTATTTCCTCCTTCACACTCCTGATGCTACTCGTGCTCTCGCTCAGTTTTCCTTCGTCCTCTTCTGCATCCATGGAGAACTGTTCGACCTTGGCCATCTCTTCCCGGATCAAGTCTGTATTGCCTCCATGAGAGATGGAATGAAGTCCCAACTCGCTGACCCTCCCTAGTTCGCTCTCGTTGCCAATCTGAACTTCAGTACTCACATGCCTACCAGAGAGAGGAAGTCCAAGGAGGTTGGAGGACCCCTCGTCCGGAAGCTTCCCACCGTCGCTGACTGTAGATATCTGGGCTGAGAGGGAGCCTTCCATGTCTAGCTCACTCACCCGTCCCAGCGTGCTTGCGTTCCCGATGATGACCTCTGTGCTCTCGTGCCTGCTGCTCGGCTCGATGGACGATGGGAGAGCAAGGAGACGGGATGGAACGTCTATTCTTCCACCTGAGGATTGCAGGAGTTCATCGGTGGTGGTGCTCTCTGGGCGAAGCGGCAAGTCGGGCGTCTCCAACCCCGAAGCTATCTCGCTGGCCGCTTGGATCAGATCAGCTGTATCAGGTCTTGGGGGAGATATAAGGAGATGCTCTGTTAGAGTTTGCTTTGAAATTCTCCTACATACACAACTAATTATATACCCAAAGTGTGTTTTAACAAGGTATAAAAACACAATTCTTTATAAGATCCTCCACAAATTACTATAAATCTGTCAAAATATTACATTCATATATCCATGAGACAGAATCATGAGATCTCAATTATCAAAGCCAAACAGAAGGATCCTGGGCAAATTTGCTTGTAATCAGGTTTAGCAGTGCACGATTTCAGCTTAACATCTTAAGATATATGCAGCATGGCAAAAAAGGCATTTACTATCATAAACCATGAACACTTTTGTGAGATGCATATCACATTGTGACATAAGTGCCATGTACATGTACACTTCCAAAGTTTGGATATTATTGCCCTACCTTCAGCTCTGGCAGGTGCAATCAGTGCACAGCGCATTTCAAGAATTAATCCAGCGAGGTACCCCTGTTATAGAAGGGTCAAGACAGACAGCTGAAGATAATGCCTTGTCGACTTATGCACCAGACTGAGTTTTGAACCCTCAAACTTTTAAGTGGGAGTTAAAGGTAATACAAAGTTCTGGGAAATTTTGAAAATTGGACGGATAGTGATTCTTTACAATTTTGATATATTTGGATACCCCTGTGGATATATTATAAGCACTAAAAAATTTAGCCCCTAAAACACTTCTGCTTTTGAGAAAAATTGAATATAGAAATTTACCAGTGCTCCCAGTGAATTTTGATCAATTTTAAATAGCGCCTACGGCCATACAATGGTAGCTGCGACCATGACAATCTCAGAAAATGCAGTTGTGATATATAATTTCCAAACAGGAATAGCCAATCGGTCGATTTTTGTCTTAATTAATATCTTGACCTCAAGAGGGAACTATACAACATAAAGAGTTAATTGTTTACAATTTCATAACTCAAGACTCTATTTCAACCGCGACAACGATCACTCAATATTGTAGGATCGCATATGCTTCCAATATGTTCATTTGAACCAAATTCATGACCCCATACCAAAACTTTGTATTACCTTTAAGTGAATGAACCACTACACTAAGATGCTCCATTTGTGTGAACCTACCCATATGAGAGATAGTCGTGACACACTCAATCATAGGTCAAATTGGTAGAGCACAGAACAGTTCCCTCGCATAGACATTGCATGTGGGAGGGAAATCTTTTGCTCTCCGTGGATCGACCTTTGAGGATGCAGGTGTTCACGTGTCACAACTCTCTATCCTCTACTAGCTCTTAAAGCTTAACTGTACTAGTTTACTAGTTTATAAGAGGGATTAGACCGCTCCGCAAGGTCACTGGGCAGGTGGTTTTCTCATCAACTCAGCTCTCAATTAACATAAGAAAAAGAGGATCATGGGGGACCAATGGTCACTGATTAGGCATTGTTTGCTATATAGAGAGAGCAAGTAGCTACAAGTAGGACAGTGTGGCTTTAACCTACCTCTCTGCTGCACTTCTGTCTGCATCATGGATGGCGACAACATCACCACCGCCCCCACCATGGGGAATCCCCTGCTTGGGTAGGGCGTGGTCGGGTGCCCTGGAGGCCGGTCTGCTGGTCGGCAGGTTGAAGGAATCAGACTCATCGGACAACTCCTCCTCCTCCAGGCTGTCATCGTCCAGGGGAGGCAGGGGCATGGAGCTGTCATCCAGTATGTCCAGGTTGTCGTAGAAGTTGGGAACGATGGCGGTGATGTGCTGGATGGATGGACGGGTATTCAAACATGAACATTTGTTGCCACGTCACAGTCCTCATAAACAAGTGCACATTCAACCAACTATTGCCACTCATTAGATAATCTAGAGTAGAGCCATACCACGATATGTTAACAAAAGATGGATTCTTTGTCTTATTTAGTTCCCATTATTTAGTAAACCATCTGATTTTGTCACCCTTTCACAGTCTCTTCTGAGAGAGTGATATTTTGAAAGATGTCTACGATAAAAAACGAAAAAGGGGTCACACTTCCCATTACTGTAGTTCTTGTAAGCCTGAAACCCTATAGTCCTGGGGGAATGATTTAATTTAATTTCTGTTCTAACACTTAAAGTGACTCGGTAACATTGTTGAAGATTGATGAAAAAATTGTGTAATTTTTGTATGAAATGTTACTTATTATATTCCTTCTACTGTACTTACCCTCTAACAGGCAAAAAATTGAGAAATTTCTCAAACCACAAAGATATTTATGGTTTTCTGTACGACACCTTCCAACAGGATTAACAGTAAATTCTCCCAACCATTTTTGAATTTTCCCAACCGTTTTTCCTTGAAAATAAGTCATAAAACGGGCTATAAAAAATCTGTCAACACTTACATGTTGGAATGATATATAGAGCTAATTCATTGCTTTGTAACAATTTACATTCACCTAAAATGTAATTAAATTGTAATAATATAGTTGGGAGAATTGAGGAATCGATCTGATCAGTTTTTCCCAATTTTTATCGTTAATAATGGTCCGTTTTCACTCAAACTTTCAGATTATCTTTAATTGTACATGTAGCATTGAAGTCACTACCTTAGCACCACTATCTCTCATCTGAACAATGTTACCAAGTCCCTTTAATATTAGTGTTTGTTAATTTTGTATTACTTTGCAGTTTTCATATGTCTGAACATGTATGTATACTTGTTTTTTATGAACCACATGTGGAAATAAAACTTGAACTTGAACTTGAACTTGAACTTTTCAGGAATTGTGCTATATAAGTGGTACGTACTATTGATATTATAACCTTAGTGATCTACTGACCTTGCCCACGAGGTCATCGTGTACTTGACCAAAGAGCATGACGGAGAAGGTCGAGTTGATACTGTGGATAGTACCGTCTGGCAGAATGCTGACCATACCACTGATGTTAGCAAAGACCCACACACTCGCGCAAAATAATTGGTCCCAAGACCAATAGCACCTGACAATATAGGGTGAAAGAATCGATACAAAATCACAATGGATGCATTTCATAACTTGACTGTAGATTGTGTAGCTTATGCTACTAGGCGATTATACCTCATAGAATATGCAGTATGATAAATCCAATTTCGCCATCACCCTTGATGAAAAACTGTATGGCAAGGCAACATTTTCTCAATTTTGTAGTTTGAGTGAGACTTCACTGTTTTACATCAACTCAAACCAGAAGGCTCAGTTTTCACTAAATTGGTTGGTATTTAAAGATGTCCTAGCTCCTCGATTTTGTCAGTGCATAACACATTTGATGTTCACACCAAGCATGGTGCAACATTGTGTCAGTCCTCTCTAACAATCTTTCTTCGATACAACATGGCCACATAGAAGGGTGTTGTAGTCTACTAGATAAGTCACCTGACTGCAGATCACAAGGTACAGGGTTCAAGTCCTGCCTCGGCACTAATGTCCTTTGGCAAGACATTAATCTACATTTGCCACTCTCCACCCAGGTGTAAATAGGTACCTGATATCCTTGAGCGCTAGTTACTTTGGCAGCACGGCTATAACCAGGGTAATATGTGTAAAGCGCCATGAGCGTCAGAGTCTGGGGGATACCGCGCTACATAAATATCCATATTATTATTATTATTTTACTCAATTTGGACGAGAAAAACAGACAGATTCCTACCAAAGAACCGATGGGGCACGAGCAATCATACATTTCTTACATAGGGGCCAAAAGACTAGAAGGACCAAATCCCTTTACAAAAGAGGGTCATTTTGTTCAACCAACTATCTGACATGCCAATCACTACTACAACTTACCGTCTTGGTTTTCATTTGGAGGACAGAGTTCATAATCTGCTGATGACCCAGCGGTCGACAGAAGGTCAAGAGTGTCAGCGTGATTGGTGGTGGTGGAGAAATTAGCGGTGGAGAAGTTAGACGTGGATAAACTCGAGGCTGAAAAAAAGGGAAAGTGATTCAATCCATGTTAGTCATATATTCTAGAAAAGAAATGTTGAAAACTAGTCCAATAATCTCCTAAATATTGATTCTAGAAATTTTTATTCACAAAGCAATCACATGACCTGGGCCTCGTCTTAACAAGAGTTGCGATTGATCCAAATCAATCGCAAGTTTGCAGTCCTGTATCTCTTATGTACATAATTGTGATTGATATCAATCACAAATATGTTCCGATTAATATCAACTCTGTATAAAACGAGGCCCAGAACTGAATTTTAAGTTTAAAAAATCTTTCACCTTGTCCAGTGTCGTTGAGGGAGGTATTATCCACCAGTTCTTGAGGTTTTACAGATCTGATTTTAACACTTGCAGGGAAGGAGGAGCCATCTTTGGTTCTACCAGTCACCTGCTGCTTCTTCACAGACTGAAAATAGAATAATAATAATAATACTCAGTTTTATATAGCACTTATTACAATCACTAAGCGCTTCCAAACTTGGAGATTATTACCCCGCCTTTAGCTGTGTTGCCATTGCAGTGCTCTAGCATTTCAAAGAATTAATTTCTGCCAGGACATACCGGTAATCACATTTACAGGATTAGTAGTATATATTGGGTTGTTATCAATTTCACTTGAATCAAAACATTGAGGAAACCAGCATCATAAATGTGTGCAAAAAAGATCAGATCTGTTCCATTTTCATAATCAAGTTCAAGGGATGGGAGGGGTAAAGGAGGAGGGAGGAGGAAGGAGTCAATAAGGGGCAGGCATTTCACTTCATACAGCATCAATACTTCCATTCATTGATGGTATATGTAGATTAAAAAGGGGACAAATAAGTTTGATTTTAAAAAAAATCCAAAAAAAAACATCTATATCTTTTATTCATCATTATAATTTTTTAAAAATTAAATCTATTTATTTGTTTTTATTCATTTATTAAAAGAAAAAACAATTTCATTTTGATTGTTTTTTTTCTTTCTTGGGGGGGGGGGGGGGGGGGGGGGGAGGTGATGATGTACTCATAGCATCACCTTCTATTAGTTTGGAAGAGGTTAGAGAAAGGGAGGTGCAAAATAACCATCCCCCAAAAAAGAAAAAAAAAATAGGATAAACTTAAAGGCTTATTCACATATGACGCAGTATACCACAACATTTAATGCTCCTCACATTTCTGTTTCTTATAACAAGCTGATAAGTCCAGTACACTTTAATAGAATCTTTGCTATATGCAGATATCTTTCTTCTCATTCCATTTGCTCTTCATTTACACCCACATATACAAAAACTATATGTTTTTTTGCAGCATATGTTGTAGGAATGATACTTACAGCATCAATATTTCCATTGATAGAGGGCAGATTGAGGTGAGGCATGAGTTGTTTGACACTCATCCCCATCACCTCATTCTCCGACGTGAAGCCATGCAGGTAGACGATCTCGTGGCTCGCTCTCACAATGGCTCCCTGAGGATAAGATAAAACAACAAAACTTTCAAAATCATTTCTTAAAGCCTGTCTGCACTACTTGTAGCTACTTGATCCCTCTATATAGCAAAATTAAAATGTGTTTAAAAATGTTAAGATCATCTTACACCTCAGGACTTAACAACTTTGTCTTTTTCTATGAATTCATCTACATAAACAAAGAATTTTTTGTCCATAATGTATAATGATAATAAGATAATTCTTTAGATGTGTGAGACAAATATTAAATTTAATTTACAGCGGACTCTGACTTACATTTTGCACTGGAATTACATTATACTTTGAAAAATACTTGGGATGACTGCTAAATCATTTTGTGGGTTTTTGGTTATCCAACAATTGTTTTAAGGCTTCATTACGTACCACATATGAGCTTAAGTGCACAATGTTCTTTTGAGTTCAATGAAGTTAGGTGTAGGGTTAGGGATATAGTTACGGTTAGATACAGTGTTTGAACCAGGGTTGAAATTAGGAATTAGGTTGGTTAGGAAATTGACGGGAATTGCTCTGTTAAGCAATTCCCGTCGAAGCAAGGGTCTTGGAGTAGGATTCATATTTTCAAATGAGTACTCAGAATCAAATTGGTAATCTCTGTTAAAGGTCTCTGGTCTGTGAACTAAGCATTGCTTACTGTGACGTCAAAGACGATTTTTCCCGACGTCCTCTCAACGGGTTCCATGACGACCAGACATTTTGGGTTCTCCTCGTCGGTCAGTTTCTTCATCCAGAGAGAGACGGGAATGACCAGGCCACACGAATCTAAAATGTCAAACTGAGAAACCAAAATAAAATATTATATTCAGACACTTTATGTTTGTTACCAATTAATACATCCAAAACATATTAAAGTCAATAACTCAGTGGTGTAAAGCATAGCTTTTATGGTAATTTTTTTTTTCTTCTTAAATTAGGACAAATTCTCAAAAGAAGCACAAGAGACTTGTCTATTTTAACATGATTTTATCTGTCATCTCAACAAAAACTACAATGCAGAAAATTTGACATGGTTGGAAAGAGCAAATCTAACCATTGTATCCTTCAGGTATTGAGGTCCCTGACATAGTATACAAATTACAAACCACTTCCATAACGATGAATATTGCTCTTTCAAACAAGCTTCAAAACAATTCTTGATTTTTCATCATCAGAACTTAGCATGACAATTCAAGCGATTTATGATTTGTTTGAACATCTCAAGCACAAACAGGGAAGAACTTCTCAGAAATCTTCACATCTCATCATTGCTACTCCAATTATTAAGAAAACAGTTATGAGCCAGTTTGAATCATGAGTAGGTAATCAACATATGGCCTAAGACTTGAACCTCTGTCCCACTCACTCACCACATGTCCTGAGACCATGACCACTTGTCCTGTGGATTCTAGATGTTCCTCCATGAGAGCATGTGGTCTGTTCCGGTCAGGGAGGGACAGGAGATCGGTCATCTTCTTTCCCACCAGCTCTCCAGGGTCGTACCCAAACAGTTCTCCGGCCATCTTACTTGCTAACAAAATCTGCAAGAAAATAAATTTCAAAATCAGATGTTTTTGATGAGCACAAAAACCTTTTCTTCCCTCCCCACATATCAGGGAAGTACACAAACATTTCTTGAGCCTTCATACAGGATCTGGAAGAAAATAGCTTTTGAAAAATTGTACTTTTAGACAGTTAAAAAGTTAAATGTGTTATTGAAATTCCCCACCCCCCCCCCCAACTCTCCTGGGTTTTCCAGCCATCTACAGGTAACAGATCTGCAACATATTATATTTCATCTTGAAACAATTCAAAACAAAAACCATAGCCATGGATCAAACTGTTTCTTCAATGAGCTTCTAATGTTTCTTCATGGAAAAACATATCTACCTTTCAAAGGAAAGAATCACTTTTGAAAAGTTATCTCTAGGAACTGGTTAACTAAATGTAAATATATTTCAAAAAGATATAAAAAAGTTCAGGTAATATGTTTGGCTGAGAAAGAGAGCAAGATTTAGTTTCGAGTATTTTGAGGTATTTCTCAGAAATTTTAACAGACACTTGAGACACAAAAAGCATGATTTTAAACAGATTTGCATAATTGAGCATGAAATGTTCAATATTTCCTTCAGTCCCACATGATGCTTTTCATGCTGCTCATAATCATCACCGCCAACCTACCTTGGTACTGCGTGCCTCAATGGTCAGCATGGCCTTGTTGGGGTTACGCACGGTGGTAGGAAGGGCCACGCCCGTCTGTGCCCCGCCCACAAAGTTGTAGAAGGACCAGGACCTCCCCAGGGACATGTTTAGTGGGGGCGGGGTCGGGGCGGGGGCGAAGGACCCCTTTGATAGTCCTCCAGTGAAGCTGAGGGAGTTCAGCTCGTCTCCTGCATGTGGAAAGGTTTATTTATTTATTTATTTATTTATTTATTTATTTATTTATTTATTTATTTATTTATTTATTTATTTATTTATTTATTTATTTATTTATTTATTTATTTATTTATTTATTTATTTATTTATATTTTTTTAAATTTTTGTTGTTGTTGTTGTTGTTGATTGATTGATTTTATTTCATTTCATATTTTGAGTATTGTAAATGGTTTGAATTTGTTGTGTGTGATTTCAGTAACATAACGATAGACTTGTTGGTGCTCTCAAAATAATTGGAATAATAATAATAATGTCGGTTCAGATGGAGTTTTCATAGCCCAATAGTAGTCTAACTAGAAGGAGAATATGTTTGTCCTCTCCAAAGTTTGAAAGAAATAGGCAAATAGACATATAATTACATTTTCCCCAAATTAATATGGACTTAAAATACCAATAATGCATTAGAATATTAAGTTTAATACTGCACAAATAAAGTGATCATGAGGGAGAGGATAAGGTCTGATCTGTCGAAAGTGTTTTATAATCAAATACAAAGTACTCAAACTTGGTCAAAGCATAGAAAAATCTAATACGTGCCTCCATTGTATAAAACTATGCAGACCATCACTGTTTGTTATCTGGGCAAATTCATCAAAGTTCCTTCAAATCAGCAGATCAGTTTAAGTGTTGAAAAATATTCTAAACAGGTATCTACTTTATTTGGCATAAAATCAATTGTTTTCTTTCATTTCTGTATGTTATATCTTACTCCCATTGTTCTTGTGTGTACAATGCAGACCCCTTTATAAAGTGATTTCATCTTTTGCACTAGTGCACCTTGAGCATTTCAATTCAAGTTTGGCGCCTTTCTAAATCTTATATTATTATTTAAAGCATATAGTGAAAATCAATGACCTTTGAACTTGTCGAGTGTGCATCCTGCGGTGGGTTCAATCGATGTGATGTCTGACTTGGCGGCTGGTAGCTCGGTGAATGGGAAGGTCTGGTTTATGTCTAGTGATGTATTGAAGGATGCACTTAAACCAAGCTGGGCTGCTCGCTCTCTGAAATCAAAATTTTAAAAAATAAGATAATTAAAAGAAAAATCATCCAGGAGGTTAAATATCATCCGTTGAGAGTGGGAGAGCCTGGTTTACATTATGTCTAATGACGTATTAAAGAATAAAAATAAACGCAAACTATGCTGTGCCACTCGTTTTCTGAAATTAACAAAAAAATTAACAAAAAAACAGTCAGCGGGGCAGCTTTTCACAAAACCGTCCTATCCTTCTTTCTATTCCGCTCATTCTCTCTCTCTCTCTCTCTCTCTTCCCTTCTCATCATTCCTCCCTCTTTCTCTCTCAATCAATGCATAAAATTAAAAATCCTCAAATAATTCTCCTTCCTTCCTTTTCTCTTGCATTTATTTTGTTTCTATTTCTTTCACTTTCTATGCTCTCTCTCTCTCTCTCTCCCTCCGTTACTCCATCCCTCTCTCAATTTTTAAAAATATATTTTAATTCAAAATTCTCTCAATCCTCAAATAAAATTGACTTTCATCATTATTTTTCTTCCCTTCTATCCTTTCTCTTGCGTTCACTTTGTTTCTATTTCTCTCTCTCTCTCTCTCTCTCTCTCTCTCTCTCCTATTCATTAACATAATAATGGCATGACTGGTTAGACTACCGGTAATGGAGCTCAATGCAATCGAATTTGCTACACAGCAAATGAGTTCCGAGATTAAAATAGAGAAAATGAATCTGTGAGCAAATTGGCAATTTCAATACGACTCGTGGAGACATGGGTATGCAGTGTAATTGGAGAGGGAATCAAAGTGTTTAATATCAAAATCTCTCTTCACACCCACTGGGATAGAACTGTCCATTTGCTGGCCGAGATTGCAACATGAACGTGTATGAATTAAACTGTCAAGCTGAAAGCAGGGCCCATAAGTTTGTTACAAAGAGAGAGATAGAAAGAGAGAGAGAGGGGGGGGGGGGGGGGGATAAAGAGATAAATAGAGTGAGTGAGAGAGCAGAGACAGATAAAAAGAGATAAATACAGAGAGAGAGAGATATATATAGTGAGAGAAAGAGAGAGAAAGAGAGATAAAGAGGTAGAGAGAGAGAGAGTGAGTAAGAGAGAGACAGATAAAAAAGATATAGAGACAGAGAGACAGAGAGAGAGAGAGAGAGAGAGAGAGACAGAGAGAGAGAGAGAGAGAGAGAGAGAGAGGAGAGAAAATTGAGGGTTGTTACAAAAGAGATTCTGTCTTCAAGCAATTACCATAATGATTGAATCTCTACCAATGCTACACAGCACACATAACATATACGTGTAAATATAAATCAAGTATAATTGGAATATTTAATGGGCATGGGAATTGTTGAGGAGAAAATTTGTTTATCCCATACAAAAAGCAAAAGTGGGGATATCCGTACATCCATCTGTTACACTTTCAATGTACATGTACTTGTCAAAACCGATCAACATACACTGTATATTCTACATCCATAGAATTAATTTTCATATAATCTGCAGCCTTGAATAATTTATTTCACCCTATGCAGATACATTGTACACTGGCTCAATTTTTACTTAGCTAATTTAGCCAAGTGTTATCTTCCTTATTACCATTCAGTTTATTTCTCTCTTGCTATATTCTTTCTTTCTAAGATGGTCATATCCAAACCCTTCCTCCCTGCATCTATCTACCTATCTTTTATCTATCTACAGTTAACAACTAAATTATTCATACCCTTACCAACTTTTGTAATTTTGTGAGTATGTGAAAAATTTGTTTGTCCTGATTTATGTTTCTTAAGAATGTAATACATTAAAGCTTACATCTAAGAGTATTCAACAAATGCCTTAATTCAACCATTCCATCTTTCATTCTTGAGTTATAAAAACATAAAAACATAAACATTAACAAGGGGTATGAATAACTAAGTTGTTAAAGGTATAGACCAGTTTTGGAAACGCCCCCCCCCCCCCTCTCAAAAAATGAAATGGAAGCTCTTATACCAATAATGTGAAAGAATATGTTTTGACTAATACGTAATGATTACGTGTAAATTATTATATCGATCCGGCCTGGATAGATATCGCGTAGTCCAATATATATCTTTCTGCGTACAGTGCTTGTTACTTTACCAAGACTGGGCCAAACTTCTTATCATTTTGATGATTCCAGAACCTTGCAGTACACACCAATACTTATATGCTATATAATCAACCTTTTCTGATCGATTCCACAACATTTCTTTCACAATGCAATCGCCTGACCAGAACTGGTCTATACCTTTAACCAGGGGCGTACGCAGGATTTTTTCAAGGGGGGGGGGGGGGGGGGGGGGTTTTTTTTAAATCTGGCCCAAAATATTTTGCTCCCGAAAATTTGAAAATCGCGCCGGCCGAAAAGTCGCTCAGTGGGGGGTAAGCGGACACTTTTTTTTTTTTTTTTTTTGGTCTCGAAATTTGAAAATTTGAATTTTTTTTTCTTGGGGGGGGGGGGGGTGGTAAGGTCACTTTACGTTAGCCGTGGGCATAATTTTTTTTTTTTTTTTTTTTTTTTTAATTTAAAAAAAAAAAAAAACACTAGGGGGGGGGGGGGGGGTTTTAAGTTTTTTTAGGGGGGTTTACACACATAAAAATACCAAGGGGGGGGGGGGTTTTAACCCCCAAAACCCCCCCCCCCTGCGTACGCCCCTGCCTTTAACTGTATATATCTATCCTTACCTTTTTCCTGTCCTAATCCTGTCGAGGGGAGATGGATAGGAGGGTGAACCAAACTGATCTTTCTTCCTCATCGTGCCTCCAAAAGACTGGGAACAACTCTGAGGTCCGGAGGGGATCTTGCCCTGAATCAAGATTTACAAAAAACAATAAAAAATAGAGATAACATTTATGAGAAATGCATATTAGTAAAAGAGTGATATACATTTACATGTATCAACAGATAAACAGTAATAATTAAGAAACAAGAGAGAGAGAGAGAGAGAGAGAGAGAGAGAGAGAGAGAGAGAGGGGAGAGAAAGAAAGAAAGCAAGAGAGAGGAGAGAGAGCTAGGGAGAGGATGAGAAAAGAGGGAGTAGGGTAAACAAACATGTAGAAAAAGAGATACAGTGAGATGGGAAAAGAATATACCCGGTAAATAGAAAGAAGGGCAAAAGGGAGAGATATTCAGTGACAGAACAATTGGGAAAGAGAATAATACATCTAATAATTTAATTCAAACTAAAACTATATCTACATTAGGTAACTCAGCGGAACATAGTGGCATTCAAAGACATCTGAAACACAAAATACATGTATGATATTGTGAAACAGTCATAATTTCATGGAATAGCAATAAAACCACTTGATTAGAACATGGAGCTTATATAATAAACGTACGTCCATGACCTTTATCAAGCTCAATGACATCGTAAATGTCAATTTGATATACACAGTATGTGAAAGTGCAACTCTTGATTCCTCGACATCACCAAAATTTAAGCCCTTTGGGTTCCAGACACATCTTTCAACGCCACTACATGTACATTGTGCTTTTACGCTTCCAAAACCAACCAACTACCAAATATTTGTGATTATGGTGCTCACTGATAATAGACCCTTTTTTTCAATTTTAACATTTGCAAATTGATACAAACTACATGCATCAATTGATTTAACCATCAACAAGGATAAACAAATAATGTTATATGTTAAACAGGAATACTATACAAACTCAAACTAAATACGAGTGCTTAAATCTAAAATGAAGAAAAAAAATCCCTCCTCCACCATCTGTTCCCTGTGCTGTTGCCATGGTAATGTATGCAGCCTCACATCCCTATACAATGTACTTCATAGTCATACCCAAGCTCTCATAACAGCAACGATTGGTAGACAAAATGATTAAGCAGCGGAAGACAGTCACACTTTTTGCCGGAAGAGAACCTACTGCAAATAAATCATCAACCAAACAGACGCTGCTCCTACACGTCATGTGAATCTAGCAGTTTTTAATGAACATAAATTATACTTAGGGTTTTCAAGAGGAGTAAATACAAAATTTCTTGGATAAATATAAAGGGAATGTTTGTACGTCAGTCAAGAAAAGCAATGAATGGGGGAAAGATGTTTAAAGAGTGGGGAGACGGTCATAATTTTGCTGGAAGACGACTGCAAACAAATCATCGATCAAACAGATGCTGCTCTTACATATACAGGTGTGTACTACTGTGTGAAACTAGCAGTCTGAAATGAACATAAATTAGTTTTACTGTCTTCTGGAGGAGTTTAAACAAATATGCTCTAAAACACGGTTCATTAAGGCTCGTTCAGAGTCTTTTATGATGACGTTAAGTGTAATACCCTTCACATTTCTGTATCTTATAAAACAGAGTTCAGTAGATACGCTCAAGTCCTTTCAAGCGTGCAGTTGTCATTAATTTTACACGTAGGAAAAAAATGGCTGCTTTTTTGCGGCGGTTAAGCGTGTCATATCTGAACAGCCCCTTAGAGGGTATTTCAAGTTCTTGTTATGGCTATAAATGGGGAGTGACAGGAATGCAGATTATGCATGCTAAATTATGGCAGCATATGAGGCATTAAAACCTAATAAGATACCTAACAAATTTGATGATTGAATTGAATTTTTTTTAAATGTTGAGCATGGTGATTTTAGCAGGAGGGGAAAGAAACACATAAGGCCTGTTTTCATCACCTCGCGATTGCCAAATATCCCGCTATTTGAACTATCCCGATTGCAAATTATCCAGTTAATTTGCGTCTTCATCAGCCCAAAGTTGCAATTAGCGGGATATTCGGTCGAGATAATCATCCCAAAATATCTTGGGCTAGTTTGCAAAATATCCCACTAACTGTCCGGTGCGTCTTCACCAGCCTGAAAACTCGCACTATGAGCGAACACTGAGCAAAATATCTCTAGCTAATTTCTCATGCTCAAGCTTTGAGGTCAAGTCTCGAGCTGATGAAGACGCGATTTGTAACTTCGGGATTATTTCCCAAATCAGAAATAGCGGGCTATTTGGCAATCTCGAGCTGATGAAAACAGGCCTATTGGGAATGTTCTGATGTTTATCTAAACCAGCTTCTAGATATCACATCAAAAGTGAAATGATGTGCAGAAGTCTGATGCGTCTTCAGTTATTTGCTCTTGTTATACTGTACATGTAGTGGTTTCATATCTAATCATGATTAAAGCCCCTCCAAAGTGTTGGGAGTCCCAAATTCGCCAAAAATTTAATGGCAAATTTCATTTAAATTGTACCATAATGTAAAAGAGGATGTAATTTAAGATGCACTTCTGCAAAGATTCCCCCCCCCCCCCCCCCCAAAAAAAAAAAAAAATGTGTTTGAAACTTTGAAGACAAATATTGATAAAAGAAAACATAATTTTGATTTTCTATTTTACCCAGAAAACTTTAAAAAATGAAAATTTCTTCAAATATTCTATGTTTTTCTTTTAAAAAAAGGTGTCTTAAATGACATCCTCTTTCACTTTATGATACAGTTTAAGTGAAATTTTGTCATCAAATTTGTGGGGCTCCCAACACTTTGGAGGGGCTTTAATTGTAACATTCCAACATGTCAGGAAAAAAAATGTTCAATTTTTTCCTCAACAGCAATATTTTGCATAAATACCTACATCATCTAATACAGATACATCCATGTACAGCTACATTGTCTAAAGTCTGTTTGGTTTCCATGTGCACAAAAAAAAATCCTCATGCATAATTAATCACATTCTGAGCTATAAATCGACTACTGGCAGAGATGAAGGCCATTTAATCTTTTTAATGCAATAAAATTCTCACGTCGAGTCTGGCATTGACAGAGTCTGCAGGCACTTGAGTTGCTTCCTTTGTATGCTAGCTGATTGCATTTTTGTATCACTAGGAATTGTCTGTCTAGAGCCAGAAGGGTGTTAAAGGTAATACAAAGATTTGGGAAATTTTTAAAAATTGGATAAATAGTAATTTTTTAAATTTTGATATATTTGGATGCCTCTGTGGATGTATTAAAAGCACTGGAAAATGTGGCCCCTTAAACGCTTCTGCTTTCAAGAAATTGAATAAATCAAAATTTACTGGTGCTCCTGGTAAATTTCAAATATTTTGAATAGCGCCTACTGTAAGGCCATTTCATGGTAGCTGCGACCATGAATATCTCAGAATATGCAGTTCTACTATATAATTTCCTAACAGGAAGAGAAAACGGGTCGATTGCAGACAAGAAACATTGTTTTAAAGCTAGAGTAATATCAGTTTTAAGAGGGAGCTATACAACATAAAGAGTTTATTATTTACAATTTCATCACTTTAGACTCGATTTCAACCGCGACATTGATCACTGAAATATTCCGGCATTGTAAATTCGCAAATGCTTCCAATATGTTCATTTGAACCAAATTCATGACCCCATACTAAAGCTTTGTATTACCTTTAAAGAGAAGGTTGAGTTCTGGGAAGAGGTGAAAAATAATTTGTGAGCATTACTGATTCTTATTATGCAAGTGTGGAAGACCATCAGTTAAGACATGTTCCCTGAAAAGCATGGCTCTTCAAATGCCTTCATATTCTAAATATGCATGTACATGTAACATCGTAAAAATCGGGGGGGGGGGGGGGGGGGCGGCTTTTTACGCCACGTGTTCGTGTAGTCCCATATACATCTTTCTGTGCAAGTGTTTGTAACTTTACCAAGACTTGGCCAAATTTCTTATCATTTTGATGATTCCAGAACCTTGCAATACACACAAATTCTTATATGCTAGATGATCAACTGTTTCTGATCCATTCCACACCGTTTCTTTCACAATGCAATCGCATGACCAGAACTCAACTTCATCTTTAACTCTGTAAAATGATATGAATTACTGCCCTCCTGGCTTCTAACTGTCAAAATGATGTATTACACACGGTAAAGGTCTCCTTGTATGGGGAGATATACATGTACATGTATGTACCTTTGTAGCAGGATAAAGGATAGGCTTAAAGGTTAATTCAATTCAGTTCATTACAAACACCGTAAAATATTCACAAAGGCACATTTTGCAAAATTTATGTAGCCTATATACTGTAGGCAATGTACATGTACTGTACATAATAAATGTATTTAAGAAACCCAAAGTATTTTATTTAGACACTGACAAAAAATGAATTTGAGGCATGTCTGCAAGAAAATTAACAGTTTTATTAGGGCACCGTCCTTTAAAAAAAAATCTTTCTTGAGGTTAAAAAAAGAAGAGAAAAATACAGGTGCGACAGAGAGAGAGAGAGAGATGTACATGTAGCTGGGTACAGACAGAAAGATAAAGATATTTAATTGTACATGTATAAACACAGGAGAACATGTGTGTGAGAGACAGAGCAAGAGAGAGAGAGAGAGAGAGATGAGAGAGAGAGAGAGGAGAGAGAGAGAGAGAGAGAGAGAGAGAGAGAGAGCTTGGGGGGGGGGGTGGGAGTTTTGGGTATTCACTGACTATATCTTTTGCATGTAAATTGTATCTCCACATAAGGGCAAGCTGAGGATGACACAAGTGAAATATTAGAGGAGTTCCATGAAATCTAATCAATTGTTCAGACTTACAGTAAGTGCACTCAAATACAATGAACATGTGCTTGCTAAGACTTCCATCATGCATCGTTTCCATGGAAACATCATGCTTCTTTCAGAGAAAAAGTCAATAAAAACTGCATATGCTTAGACGAAGTAAGCCTGCCATGGTGATAAATGCACATTCATGTACAAAGAAACCACAAAAACCAGTTCAATTAACTGAACATGAAAAATTCATGTTCATTTAAAGCGTACTAATGAACACAAAATATTTTGGTTTGTATGTAAGGAG